GAACATTAATTGGGAAAGAAGAATTCAGCTCCTACTACATCCTTGTGTGCAAAATGTTTTTCTTCCCTGTGCTATCCTAAATTAGCTAGAAGTTTAGCTATACAAAGATGTGATCATGGGATAAGCTATAGTGAGAATGTACATTGTACCATGTACTCTACAGTGAACCTGAACTTGTTCATCTCTCTTCCACTGAATGGGAATTCATCTCAAACTACGTCATGTTTGCAAAAAATGGTGGTATGCACAGACTGGTACTGTGAAACTGTTCGTGTCCAACCTACCTCATGCTATATTGCTCCTGGGCTCAGTACCTAATCTTTAGGGTCACCAGTTTTGCATATATGTGGAATTAAGCTATTCTACTCAGTTTGTCTGAAATGAAAACGTTATCAGAGATTCTACAAATAAGTACATAGGCAGAAATTAAAACAGAATTAAAAAATGCACAGTAAAGTGATCCTAAGATAAATTGAAGTCCTTTGAATCATCATTTCTGGAGCCAGAAGGAAAATCTTATCTCCTTTCACTAGCCAAAGAAATTTTCTCTTTGGCAGCAGGCTCTGATTTCTGGTCATACCCAGATAGTGAGTAAATCTGGCACTGTCTACTAAGTTATTATTGATCACCAGAGTTCACTCTCATATGCTCTCTCTACATATGGATGTTGTTCTGCATAGCAGAGCATCCACTTCAGTTGCATTTTGCATTCTGTGTATTGAAGTGTCTTTGGGAACATTCGTTAATAATATATTTAAAGATGTTCCTTCTGTGGTCTTTCTAAAATAGAAGCAATTTATCATTGCAGACAAATATTTTTCTCAAAAATATTTTTTGTTATTTATGGGAAATATTGGATAAAGTTTTGCAGTACATTTATCTTTTTATTGAGAAATGACTTGAGAATGCAGATGTGTTGAGAATGGTAAGCCAGTAACTTTTCATATACACTGAGCACTGCATGCAGAATTCAAGTGGGTGAATAAAACATTTGAACTGAAATGGGATAAATACAGAATTGCATTTTGAATATAAGCAAGGTATGTATATAAATTTGGAAACTCTAATATCAGCAGCCTGGGGACAGTATTCCTCATATTTTCTTCAAGAGCTATGAATAGAAGCCTAAGAACAAAGTAGGACTATATTCAGATAATCTGAATTCCATCTGCATCTCTAATCAGATCTGGGTTTCTTATTGTCTGGCCTACAAGGCCATATATGTAACAATAGCACTCAAGTTCTTTAGCGCAATATTTGCTATCTGAATTTGAACTAAAGGTAGAGTATTTGTGACATTTGCTACCTGCAACATGTTCCACATCTTTGTCATGCTCTGTCTGTACTTTTGCTTGAGACTGCTGCTTTTCTACTGCTTAGTTTGCCTCTCTCTTTCATTTATTCTGCTCTGACCCCTACCAGTTACCTGTGTGAGCTTCTGCCATGTCTTCTGCCACCTGTGGGATTGCCATCTTGTCTTTACTTATACAAGTAACTAAATGGAAAGTTTGCATTATAATTAGAAAATAAGATTTCAAATCAGCTTTCAGGACTGACCATAATGAGCTGAGAGGTGCCTGGGAATAAAAGAAATCCTGAGCAACTGAAAAGCCTGTGTCACATTTAACAACAAGTAATTTCCAATGTATGACAGGCAAATGTGTAATCAGAACAAACAGGAAGAAATGACCATACTATGAGGACTTCAAAATATTGGTCTGTACAGTTTGCATTATACTGACAACATGTCAGACATCTTTTTGGCAGGATATCATGCAATACACTAAGGAAGGGAAATACAGGAGAATTTCCCACCTTTCTATACCTAGAATGGCTTTCTTTCTAAAGCACACTGGAGTTTGCTACCGGTCATAACCCGCATGATGCTGGCAGTGAAAGAACTGCCCAAGTGGGGACTGAGCAGAGGACTCGGGGGAAGTTAGGCCTCTGGCAGGACTGTGGCCAGTGAAGGAGCCCATGCCAGAGCAGTGGAGGAAGAAACAAGGAGCCACCAAAGAAGAGGAACCACAACATGCTGACCCCAATCTCCCACACTGCCCACCGCAGGCGTAGCATGCGGGCAGTAAGGAGATTGGAGACAGGAAAGGGGAGGAGAGGAATCTGGAGAGCAGTCCAAGTGCAGTTCTCTAAGTGTTTGTTTCTTTGCCTGTTTCTATTTTTTCATTAGCAGAATCAGTAATTAAAAGTTTGTTAGTTGGTCAATAAATTAAGTAAAATTCCCCAACATGAAACTTGTTTTATAGCCAGCGACAGACCTTACAAATCACAGTGTTCATGACTATTCTTAAAACATTTGGCACAGTTTTTAAAATTAGATTTGCTGAAGTCAGACAAGTCAAACAGCCTTCTCCAATGACGTGGCTAGCTTGGTGGGTGAGGAGTGAGCAGTGGATGTCATTTACCTCTATTTTAGTAAGGCTTTTAACACTGTCTCCCATGGCATCCTCATAGACAAAGTACGGGTTAGGTAAGTAGGCAGTGAGGTGGATTGAAAACTGGGTGAGTGGCCGGGCCCAGAGGGTTGTGATCAGCAGCACACAGTCCAGCTGGAGGCAATTCGCTAGTGGAGTACCCCAAAGGTTAATAGTGGGTCCAGTCCTGTTCAAGATCTTCATTAATGACCTGGACAGTGAGACAGAGCACACCCTCAGTAAGTTCACAGATGATACAAAACTAGGAGGCAGGGATGATACACCATATTAAAAATCACAAAATATTTCTTTCTAAAGCAAGATACTACTTTTAACTGTACACCATTGTCCAGAATTGCTTCTTTACCCAAATTCTGAGAGCTTCTCCTAACTCTGCTGCCACAGTTTTCACCAAATTTGACCTTCTGTTTGGGAGCAGCTCATTGCAAACATTTCTTAAGAAATGAATTAATATAGAACTACGCAATAAAAATTACTTGGAGCTGAGTAATTCCATGTTATATCCTTCTTTCAGTGACATTACGTCTTAGAGAAGGAATAAAAAGTGTGCTACTGGCCAAGTTAATTATCCTACTTTTCCTGAATTTAATATGTCAAAGGTCTTTTGGTTTCTTAACTCAACAAGGAAGAAAATGTATGTAGGTTTGTTTTATGATTATCCTCCTGACCTTCCTCTGACATTACCTTCAAGACTTTGTGCTTTTTTATTGTATGCAAGTCAACTAGATAGGAAAATGTGTTACTTCCTTGATTCTACCATCACCAGCAAACTCTCATGGGTCAGTGAGTAGAAAGCAAAACAAAAATCATGCTTCCTAGTAGTGGAACAAATACAATGAATAGTTGTTAAACCATATTATGATCTTCAAATCCATCCTTTATTTGATTTTTGATCGTCTTTTTAATTTTGTCTGGCAGGACAGGCAAGCAGGAATTTATTTTCGTAGCACTATAATGAATATAACATTTTATACCTTGTAAGTCTCTTTCCTTATAAGTTTCCTTCCATTCCTTTTCACTAGGCATGAGAGTCAACTCCTCTCATCTAATCTCGTTTAGCAATTTAAAAGATAGGCATCTCATCTAAATTTGCTGTCTAGGTTCGCCTTACAGTCAGTGCAGGACGACAGGCACTGAAAGAAAAAAGTAGTATACTTTGTAGCAGGATAGGTTATTTTGCTGTATAAGATACGGTCTAGTAGGATATCTGAGATGTTTCAGATAGCTGAGGTTAGTCATTCTTTGATGCCTGTCTGTCCCCTCGTCACTAGGATGGGAACCCAGGAGGTCACCTCAGACTAGCTTCAACATCTTAAGTTTGATGACATGAAGCCCACATTAATTTGCTAGTTTTTCATGTCATATTTCACTGTGAGCCAGGAGCTGAGACCATTACGAGTTTTTCTTTGATATAGTACTTAAAAGAGTAAGCTCCTGAAAAAAGCAGTCATACCTTCTATTAATAATTCCTTATTACAATTGACCTCTGCTGCTGTGGTTTTAAGAAAGGCTGTCCTTGGTACCCCTCATTTTTATTAGCTAAACTTTTTATCATACAAGTGGTAAGAAAAGTAATTAAATTTACCATTATTTCATAATTCCTTGCACTTAAAATCCATAGAGAGAACACTTGAAATGAATTAAAGTTATGGCCTCTTAAAGAAGATACATGACATCTCACTGTAATATAAACTTTTATGTCCACCAGACATTATTAATATTTTTAAGGATGAGAGCTTTCTTATTTGAAAAAAATAATTAAAATTGCCCTTCATAGTGCAAATTCTTACGCTAACAATATTTAATATAGAAAACACAAGTTTTCTGGTGGTTTCTTTTCAAGCTTCTCATTAATCTATTCCCACCCACCCCCCAATGGCTCCTTTTAGTTGTCTGTCCTTTATATTGAAAGTTGAATGAAACTTATGGAAATGTCAGGTTGGCTCCTTTAGGGACTACAGCTGAAATCATCAAGCTCATTTTCATTGTCTCCAGTTGGTGACAAATGGCAATTTTATTTAGCGAGGGATGGTTCTCTTTGAGGTTGGATTGATGGATGAGGCCATAAGAAGTTGGGCCAGCTGACAAGGTTACCCCTACCAGCTGTCTACCCATCCCTACTGTATGAGTGTCTGTGCTGCTTGTCAGTCAGCTTTTGAACCACTGCTGTTTACTGTGTAGTGTTTTAAGGCAGACTGTAATCAATGACAGCTTACTTTGCTTTAAAACGCTGTGCTGCAAATGGTGGTGGTTCCAAAACTCGCTGATGAGCAGCTCAGACATCTGTGCAGTAAAGGCAAGTTGGACAGCTAGAGTAGCAACAATGTCAGCTGTCCCAAGCAAAGCCAGCCCTTATTTTACATTCAAGAGTCCTTTATTTTGTCTTTGATTTTTTGTGTGTTTTGGTTTGGTTTGGTTTGTTATAATCAGCCTGCTGCCTAAGAACGCCATCTTTGAAATGTTTTCAAATGGGTATGTATAAGAACCCCAGTAGTGTTTTGAGATTTCACTACAAAATCCTAAAATGTTTTTAATTCTTGTCTGTAGGCTGGAGCAAATGTGCTGCTGCAAGATGTTAATGGAAACATTGCCCTTGATTATGCCATAGAAGGGACTGAATCTAGCAGCATCCTTCTGATGTACTTGGAAGAAAACGGTAAGTCAGCTCTTCAGCTTCTGTAATGTTTTTATTGAACATGACATGAAAACAAAAAGGATGGATATTGATTTGACATGTCAGCACTGAAGCCAGTGGAACTATATTAGTTTGGAGATGAAGGGGAGGAAGATGATTTGGAGTCACAAAAGTTTTCAGTGCGTTTAGATTGGAACAACTAACAAAGGTTAGTGGCAGTGGTCATTGTCATATCTGCTTTTGCCCATTCATATGGAGATGCTAGAATGTGAATTCAAAGCAGAAAAAATGCAGTAATGCAGAAGCTTTTAAAACAAATAATGTAACAGTGTGAGGACCAGGTTTCACATTTTGTTTCATTTCACATGTTAGTTATGTATAGCCTCAGAGTACATATTTTCCAGTGACAGACTGTTAAATAAATAAATCTCTGCAAATCATCTGAATGGAAATGTATATGAAATTTTATCACTTATTCAAAAATATTAGTATTGGGTTTGTTTTGTATTGAGAAATACAATAGCTAGATTTCTGTTATGAAGTATGCTTAATGCCTTATAGATAACAAGACCTGTATTGAAAAAAACGGGTTGTTATTCACCAGTTCCAAACTTATTCTCATGCTAAATCCAAAACACAGCACTATACCAGCTACTAGGAAGAAAATTAACTCTATCCCAGCTGCAATCAGGACAGTACTGAAACTAATTACTGACTGAAGAAAGCAATAAGCAGACTTTATTTACCTAAGAGAAAACAAGTTGAGGTACATATCCTCTGTATATTAAGAACATCCTTTTTGTTGGGTAATAATTCTAGTATACTATAAGCTTCATTTAAGATATTCTCAATCAAGGATGGAAGGGAAAATATAGCATCCAATTTCACATTTAGGAAAGTGGGGGAAATAGCTTAACTGTATGATATTTGATCATGTCCTAGGAGCACTCAGAAGCCTAGTGTGCTCCTGAGCTCCAGGACTTGGGGTTGATTTGGGGTTGATTTATCTAAATCAAGTGTCTGATAGTCACTCTATAGCAAACCCTCCTTAGAGCAAAAGAGATGCTTCAAAGGTAGATATCTGTAACGGGTTAATTATGATCTTAACTGCATGCTTCTTTCCAAGTGCTGTGAAGGGAGTCCAGAATGGCTAGCTGAGATGTAGAAGTCTGCTACATAGGATGGGGTTCAGTTGAAGGTTATGATATTTACATTTACAGGTGTATATGTAGGTGCCTATACACTAGCTTTGGTATATAGGTGTACTACGACCATTAGTGGAGTTCTAGGAAATATTGTCACTAGAGAGCAGAAGGGTTATTCATTTGACCAGCCACTAGGAAAACACTGGTAAACACTGTTAAATTTGTTCTGCACCAAGATATCATTGGCTTTGCATGTTACTGGTCTTCTTGTTTTGCTATGAAAAGAAAGTTAAGACGTTTAAAGACTTTGAAAAATAAGATGGGGAGACAATCCTCTGCAACATCCTGCCAAGGCAAGGCCAACTGAGAGTAGCCCACGTTACCCAGGGCCATGTTGGGTTGGGGATTCTACGATCTCTCTGAGCTTCGCTCCCATTCCAGTGCTGAACCATCTTCATGTCATTTTTTTCTTCTTATTTTCAGTTGAAATTTTCTTTGTTGCAACTTACCCATGTAGTCTCTTGTCCTTTCCTTGTTTACCTCCAGGAATTTTCTCCCTCCAGAGGTGAAATGAAAATATTAGGAAGTGTAAAAAGTTCCCCCACCACTATTTGTCCTGTTTTATTCTGAACCTGGTTGATTGTTGGAATCATTGAGAAAGCCCACCTGACACCTTCTGTAACCTTTATTTAGATTAATATCAGCTTTATGTCTTAAGGCAAAGCTTTTGTTGTATTAATACCATTTTAAAAATATCAAACTTTAAATGACTGCTAGTGTGTTCTCTTTGGTTTTAGAGGCAGAATGTTCTACTGCAGAAGTGTGTCAGTGAAACTCTGATTATCGCATATGATCCTTATGTTTCCTCCTTTTCCTTTAGGCTGTTTTAAATATTTAATGCTTTGAAGAATGTAACATTTTTGTTTACTTCCTTTCTTGGTATTTAGTTGCATAGTGGATTAGATGGCTCGGATATAAACTCAAAATGAGTGACAGATATTTCTTGGTTCCATATTGGACAAGTGACAGGAGGTGACACATTCACTGTGTAATTTGTTTCCAAAAAAGAGGTGTTCCCTTTTCTCCTCCAAGATCTCAGGCTTCAGCTTTCAATAGGATAACTGTGCATTCTGAGAACATCAGCCTTGTAATTTAATCTCAGAAAACAGTATCTGGATATTTACTTATTTTTTTTTAAGAGCTGTCTAAGTATCCTACACATCTGAAAGCAAAATAATGTCTTTCTTGTCTATTGCATAGTGAGAGTTTATGCACTAGCAGATTATTAAGAAAACAAAAGAAACCCATCTGTTATGAATTTTCTTTTTTAAGAATGACTATATTTAAATAACATATCTACCTAAAGGTACAGATGGCTTTTCTTTTTCTACTATGACACAGGTACAGAAAAAAAATGGTTATTGCTTTTCTACAAAGTATGCTTTTTGTTTTTAACAATTCACTTTCTGTGGGGTAAATGAATTTAAAATAGCTGGTTAAAGGTTATTGACCTGTGATGGCAATAAAAATACTTAATCAAAATCTTTCATAGTATTCCAAGCTGTGTGAATAATGGATCTGTTTTGTTCTCTGAATATTAAGGGGAACATATTCAGATGTCTCAGAAAACTGTATATAAAGCCAAAATCATGTGCAAGTCCTACACATTTAGGTAGTTTTTTATGGTTTTAGTTAGTTCAAATATTGCGCAGATTTCACAAAAATAGACCATGGCTTATAAAATTCTTACTAGCAAATGGATTAAGCCTTACTTTTCAGCTGCAAAGTAGAAGGAATAAATTTCTTTTTCTGTCTTGCAGCAGTAGGTAGAATCAAAAAAATAGAAGCTAAGGCTTAGTACAGAATTCTACACTGAAGACAATGTTTAACATTAGCCAGAAACAGTCAACTCATAAATTACTACAATAAGAATTTCCCTGAAGCCAACAGTTAACAACATAAGGGAAATAACATGTGCAGGAAAAGCTGATTCAGAAAAGTAGTGGGCAAAAGATTAAGGAAAAATTTACTGTAAGACTGACACTATACAGTAATCTAGAATGTGATAGGAAGATACATCAAAAAAGTATTTTGGTTTAAAATGTAAAGTAATTTGAAATTACTCGTAACATCTGGTGTGGTGGTTTAGTATTGGCTAAAAGCCAAACTCCCACCCAGCTGCTCACTCACTCCCCCTTCTGAGCAGGACAGAGGGAGAAAATAGGATGAGAAAGCGTATGGGTCGAGATAAAGAGAGGGAGATTGCTTACCAGTTACTGTCACAGGCAAAACAGGCTTGGGGAAAATTGCCAATTGGAATAGATCCAGGTAGTGAAAAACAGAAAGACAAACATTAAAACAACACCGTTCCTCCCCCTTTCCCAGGCTTGACTTCACTCCTTCACTCCAGACTCCTCTACCCCTGCAAGGGGGTGGGGGAGCTACAGTCAGTACATAGCAGTTTCTCTCTGCCACTTCTTCCTCTTCACACTTTTTCTCTGCTCCAGTGTGGGTTTTTCACAGGACACAGTTCCTTGAGGAATGTCCATCTGCTTTGCCATGGGCTGCAGGGAATCTCTGCTCCGACACCCGGAGCGCCTCCTCCTCCTCCTTCTTCTCTGACCTTGGTGTTCCCTCAGCTGTTTCTCCATCTTTTTGTTCTCTCTTTGTCTCTCTGTCCACTGTTTTCTGCCCTTCCTTAAATACTTATTCACAGAGGTGCCACACTTGGCTGACATGCTCAGCTGTGTCCTGCAGTGGGTCTGCTGGAGCTGACTAGAACTGTCTGTGGTCCACATGGGACAGCCCCTGGCCTCTTCCCACAGAAGCCACCCCAGCAGCCCCACAACTGCCAACACCTGTACAATACCTCTGGTCATGTGTTTCTCAACACTCAGCACTTCTTATGAGAATAATATCAAAATGAAAATCCCAGTTCTGTGTATTTTTCATCAGTTTTGATTGTTATTAATTAAAAAAAGTGTTCAGAATATGTACACCAAAATGTCCTAACATTGAGGTTGTCTTACAGAAACCCTTAAAAAGATCTAGTAATCCAACAAGGTGAAAAAAAATCATATACTGTTTCTTCAATGCATTCAAGAAAAGCAATTGATGTAGATCAATATCATTTCAGAAAAGTACTGCTCTAGACTTTCATATTTAAAACTATGAAAGACTTTTCATAGACATTAAGGAATTATTGCTAACATACTACAATAAGAACTGACTAAAATGTCAACACATACAGATTGTTAGCACTGAAGATCAGTGAACTTAAGCTAAAACTAAATCCCCTGATATAGTTTCTATTTTAGAACTATAAGCAACGTGACCTTGATTTCTGCTTACAAATTTTCTATTAATAATATTAATGCAGTAGGTTGACAGAAAAACAGGCAACCAGAACCAAACAGCCTCAGTGTGGTTCAAACATTTTTCACTCTGATTCTTGCTGATTAGGAACCACCTACCCATAAGATTATCACACACAAAAAATCTGTCTATTTTGTGCAGAGAGCTTGATTAATTGATGATAGAGGTTAGGTGATGGTGTTGCCAGTGAGAACAGGGGACGAAATGACATATTTCAGTAGGCCTGTTCAAGTCCTAAAAATGAAGCATACAGAAAACGTGATACATTGAAAATGTTGTAATTGAGAATGCTCATCTGTCTTCCTTTAGCCTTTGTGTTTTCTAATATAAGCTTGAATAAGCTACCTTAATTTTTATATTTTCTAAGTCTTGGGGAATTGACTTTGAAGTCTTAGACTTCTCTTAATATTTGTATTTCCAGCATGCAAATGTGTGGGCGTTTAAAAGTGATTCAAAGAAAAAAGTCCACCATGTGGAAACATTTTGTTACCTATATGTTTTTATCGAAAGGAAAACCTTTAAATACACTGTGCAGACTTTTGGCACTTGAATTAACATTTTAAGTTATAGCCAGAGTTTATGATCTACTTTGTAACTGATGCTAGAAGGAAAACAGGCATTTTCTTGCAAAGACTTGAAAAAAGATGGTGAAGAACATCAGAAACTGGGATGCCCTTTTAGTATCCTTTCAAACAACTTACCCATTAATAATCTAATTCTGTTACCATCAGAAATAAATTACCATTTTTTAATAGAATTCCTAAAACTATAACCTTTAGCAAGTCAGAAAAAAGATTGTCAGTGTCTGGAGTGCACCCACAGGCCCTGCAACCTGTCCTTCTACTCCCAGGGGCTTGGCTGCCAGCTCTGGTATGGTACAGCTGTGTGACCTGGGAGCCGTCGGCTGAGAAAAGAGCTAAGTTGTGAGGCAGAGCTGGGAGAAGCCTTGTCATGATCTTTCACCCATCCTTCGGCTCAGGAGCCACATTTAGGCTCAGGTCCTTGCCCTTGGTCCTTGCTTGTGGTATGCCTATGCCCAGCCATGAACTTTGCTGATCCTGACGCTGGACTTTAATACCTGTCTTCACCTGATTTGTCTGGATTTGTTGGTACAGGCTTTTCTGACAATCACAGGACTGTCAGTTGTCCCTGATTCCCATCACAAGACCTGCTTGATTTTCTTGTTTGGGTACTGTGGGGCTGTGCCCTGGTCAGCAAGGACACTGCCCTGCCTGCCCTGTGTTCATCCTCAGCTCCTGCCTTCCTGGCCCATTTTGAGTATTCTGCTTTTACTGCTCTCTCACAAAAACATTCAACCATAACATGTTAAGAACTTGCAGAGAAATCCTGAGTATAGAAATACCATATGTGATGAGCTCATTTCAGACATGGTGCTTATCGCAAGTAACCAGAGACAATGATACACTTGTTTTGCTTCTGTGTTCTAGTATTAATATTACAAATAAAATAATAAACATGCAAGACATATCCACAGATGAATGCTTTAGCATTAAGCCTTGAGGTTGTGCCAGTCTGTTAAAATAAATTATAAAAATTATTTTTGTTTTCATACAGGTTAAGAAGAGACAGAGTTCATTTAACTAACTATAGCTGGTAAGGGTCATCAACATCCTACTATAGAAGAGAAAGGGAAAAAAATCATGTTTCACTAGAGTGGGAGAATTGTCACTCTGATGTCTACATGAGGAGGAGATGGGAATTTCATTTCTGAAAGCATTTTCAGACTAGAAGGAAATAAATTAAACATCCTTCACTAACATATGTAATGATATCTTTAAAGGCAAAGAGGTAAAACCCAACAACAACAATCAGTTGGTACTTCTGCAGTGAATTAGAGCTATAGCCCTCAGTAGTTTTGCAAGCATACATTCTTTTGCAGATACTGAAAATATTGGCTTCACTTCTCACATAATAAATGTTGCTGAAATGCATCTGTTCATATGCTGACCTTTGAAAATCAGATGCACATAATGACAAGCAATATGCAGAAGAGCTACTGAACAATGTAATCTAACAAAAAATAATGCTCTTTACAAAGCTATCTAGTAATCAACCAGAAAAGTCCTTTTAAAACTGAGCAAATAAAGCTGGATGAAGTAATAGCTACCTGAATATTTTCATAAATAAAAATGAATACTTCAAGAATGGTACCATGATTTTTTTTTTTTCTCATTGATTGTGAACATGTCTATCCTATACTGTGCTGCACAGGAGAAAAATAGAAATTCTAAACCATGATGTCCCCAGAATTACAGAAGAGTACACACAGGCTCATCACACTTGGGGTGAAAAGAGCCTTGCTACATTTACAGCTCTGTGCAGGAAGGGCAGATACAGACAGGGTGAGAGGAGACTTAAGTAAGAGGAGAGCAGAGATTGGCTTCTCAAAGCTGTTGCAAGTTTTTAATGTACATCTGTGTTTGCAAGACAAGGTGATATTGACTTCTCCTAAAGGCTGTTAAGCCCATTGGAGAATGAGACGTGTAAGTTACAGAAAGAGTGGCTGCTGGGTGTGTGTAATGGGTATTTCCTAAAGAGTGCTTGAGCATTTTGCGTTGTACTGGTCACAGGAACGGGTGTGCCCCTCGCAGATGTAGAAACTTCTTAGTACTGGACATTTCTGAGGAAAATATTTTTTATAGCAATTCTCAGTTCTGTTTGCCATGTATTTCTTTATCACTGCAACTTTTTGAAAGTTACTTTCCCTCTTTTTATCTGAGGCTTTTACATTCCTTTGGGTTGTCAGTTCTATAACCATATGCCAGAGACGGTGAGACAACCAAAGCACATCAAATGGCCTGATCAGGTGTTTTTCTTAAACAGTGAGAAGTAATATATTTTGTAGCTTTTAGGTTATGTTCTTGCCTGTCATCAGCACTGATACTCATCACCAAATGCTGTGCCCTGTGGAGTCACTACTGATTTAACTGTTCCTTCTCCATCTCATCTCCTGTAGAATTTGTGAGCATGTAGCTCTTGTTCTGATTTTATAGGGTATTTGGAGTGTATTTTCCATCCTATGCCTTTCTTTTTGACTTTCCATTTTTTAAAATGTGAATCCTTTCCCATAGTACATGCCAATTTGGTTTTCTTCCTCTATTTATTCATGCTGGCTGTCGTCCCATTTCAGCTGAATATCTAAACCACATTTCCTCTTTGAAAAGCAATGTGAAGGTCACTCTTTGATTCAGACAGCAAGAGTTACTTACTGTATGAGTAACATTTTGTTGTTCCATCTAAACTCATGAAAAGTATCACTCCCTGGGGAGGGAGAGCTGACTCTCCAGAATTACAAACTTGATTAAGGGAAGGCAGTTACTGACTAGGTCTCCTTGTTTGAGCCCCAGAGAATGATACATGTGCACGCTTGGTAAATCTGCTTCTCAGCTCCCCGCCAGAGAAGCCTTCACTTTGAAGCCTAACAGTTCCCGAGTTCTTGGAATTCAAAACTCTGCAATTCTAAGATTGCAATTTAGATTATTTTTTCAAGTTTTCATTCTGTTTTCTATAAAGGCAGAGGAAGGGAATCTCTGTTGTTTCTGTAGCTTTTACAAAACTCCTTTGGACATTTAAAAAATGAAGCCTGTGGAATGTGTCATTGTGGTAGCTCACATGCCAGGCTGTTTTCTGCTATTTGTTTAATGAAATGTGTATCATTCCTTTATACAACTATTAGCTTGAAACTATTTATTAAATTAAAACTATTGGTTTTTAATTAATTTAATTAGCTTTTAATTAATTAGTGTATTATATTAAAACTATTAGTTTTAATTTATTATTTGACACTTTTCAGCTCACTGACAGATGTGGAAGAGAACCAAGAAATTAGTTATTCATATGTTTTTTGTTATGTCATGGCCAGGTCAGAGACGAAGGATTTTTATACTCAAATTACATTTTCTACATATGGATGTAAGTGACCATGTGAAGCTACGAGCAGAAGAATCAAGCTCTGAATTTTGGTTAGATTTTCCCAATCAAGCCACAGCCAGTTGCTAATTTAACCACTTAGCAATTTTGTTGTACCATCTGTTTCTAATTTAAAATCTCTTCAGAGTGGAGGCCGTGCTTTCTTTTGGTTATGGATGGCCTTACTTATCTTCCTTTTAAAGCTGGACTTTGACAACTGTTTCTTTCTGTAGCAATGCTGACAAAAGCAATCCCACACCCTTCATTCCTTTCATCCCCTTCCATTTGTTCCTGCCTCCATACTACATTTTCTCTTGGTTTATGGGACCTTGCAATGATCTAGGCTCAGCTGGAGAACTAATCCTGGTTAAAAATAACCCAGGCAGATAAAAAGTGTTGAGTTGTAATGTCATTTGCTTAACTTCACAGTCTCTCAAGCAGTTGAGCCGGCAGATTTGAGGGACTGGTCTGGGCACTGTGATGTATAGACAGGGTTGAAAGAATGCAACCAAAAATAATTTTCATTGCATAAGACACAAAGACTTGAGTGGCTTCCTTAGAGTGTTTAATTCTTTTCCCATTCACAGCTATTTTCACAATCTCAGTGGATTTAATGATATTACAACTGTTTTACCTACAACTGCTTTTGCCAGTCAGTAGAGGATCAAGCCCATTTATTTGATATTGCTGAATGACACTAAATCATCCATGTAGTGACTGATAAATAAAGATATGAGTAAACTTGTTGGTAAATATAAGTAAGTAAACATGTTCTATAAATATACACTGAAGTCTAATTAAATGTTGATTAAGCTTTTAGAAACACAGAAAACAAAATCATATATCTGTCCTTTATTGGTGAATGAAATAGCAGAAAGTTTTAGCTTTTTCCTTTTTCCAGGTGTGGAGCTGAATTCACTGCGCCAAATGAAAATACAGAGACCTATGACAATGCTTACAGATGTCCAACAGCTCATATCGAGTGGTGGAAGCGTGAATCAAAAGAATGATGAAGGAGTTACCCTGGTAAGTGCCAATATGTAATCATCACCCTGTGAATATGCATGTACTGCAACTGTGTACTGGTGAGCATGTTTGCAAGGCAATTCTCTAATAGGAGAAATGAGGGAATGTAAGATTTTGGTTCTCATCTGGCCTTTTGAAAATAGATACATGTCAATGTCATGCATAGTACAGATTTTTAAAATAGACTAGTGCAACATCTGTGCCTTAATGACAACTTTCTTACTGTTAACCACTGAATATGCAACACAAAAATTAATAGCAAAGAAAAAATACTGGCACTGTAGTTTAGAACTGCAGCAGATACTTACGGTCTCTGACATTCTCTGAGAGGGCCTGAAACTTCATTCAGTGATTCCTGTTTTAGGCTCATACCTTCTGGCTGAACCAGGCTAAAACACTATTTCATGAGCCTATCCCACCTTGATTCAGTGTAATGAAGCATCCACCATATCAGTGGATAAGTATTCCTTCTTCCAAATTTGCATGTTATTTGTAGTCACTGGGTCTCATTTTACTTTTTTCTGCTAATAGATCTTCTATCCCTTTGTTTTTTCAGGATCACTACTTCTTCAGCTGTCAAATAATTTTAAAATTAATGTAATAAAGTAATTTTAAAATTAATGTATTTTCCCCTAGATAGCATGTCTGTGGAATGTTCTCTTTGCATATAAAATTTTCAACATCATTATCGATCAGTAAATGGTCATCAGCGGCATTAAGATATTGAATAACCTTTTACAATTCTTTTGTGTTTTTCTGCAAATACTGTACTAAAATAATTAGAAAGACATGTATTACAGAATATTATTATTATTATTATTATTATTATTATTATTATTATTATTTCAGCATTTATGCTGAATTACATTGCATGATACTGAATCAATACACTGAATCATTAGTATTTTATTCTGTATTTTAATACCTTTAAACTATAACTGAAAAAGTGAGCAGCCTCATATCTGGGGTTACTGAATACAGCCACTGGCTCTGTCTTTACAGAAAGCTATGACTTTTGGGGTGGCCACCCCAAGGCGGTTAACTGTAGTTAAAAACAAGAGGGAAGCAGGGGAGGGGTGGGAAGAAACAAAGCAACTTGTAGTTTAATTCATAAAAGCATTAATTTAACTTCCAGTTTTCTGATACATTTAAGCTAAGCTGCTAAATCACAGTAAAATGCAAAGTTGTTTCTATTGTACTTTACTCTTATTGCTACTTTAGTCTGAATTGGCTTAGTTAAATTGAGTTATGAACTTACCTAACTATCATTGTATAAAGCCTTCTCTGTAGTTAGCTGGAATAGGTGAAACGCATATCTGAAATGTGTTTAACAGTACTGCAGATATTAGGAGAAAAGCATTGTGGATAATTTGGTTTTTGTTATTTGCTTGGTGGGATGTGGACAAAGGGGACATTTTTTGCATGAGCAGTTTTTATGTTGAACTTTGATTTTTTGAACTTCTTTCATAGTGTTGCAACAAGTAGCTACAGAGTGGATCATTTTGCTTTTGTCTGAGATTTCTATTATGTGAAACTTTTGTCTGACAAACTGGTGGGAAATCCAGAATTTGTTAAACTGCTCTGTTTCTATTCATGGGTGTGGAGTCAGCCAGTCTGTGATAGCTGTATGTATATCAAAGCCTTCTGGGAACAGGTTTTTTGTTGCTCTACATCTATCTGTACAGAGAAAACAACAAATATCTCAGTTGTAAGTAGCAAATGAGATTTGCTTTGCCTTGATAGAATATATCTAAGTCCGTGTGTGAGTTAAGATGAATCAGGCAAAGAATTGATGCAATAAATGTATATATGCACACATTCTCATAGATTCATAGCACATACATATGTGTACATGCAATACAGACACAGAATGATATATGGCAAAATTAATTTTTCTGCTAAATTCTCCTGTAATAATTTTTTCTTTGAAAGATTTTAGTCATAAAATATTTCTTTTGTCCTCTAAGCTTTTAAACTACTTTAAAATAGCACTTGTCAAATTGATGTCTGAATAGAAAATGTAATTTCTTCTGTTAAAACAGAAGAAAAGCTGGAGCTATGTGAATTTATGGGAAATTTTTGAGGTTTTTGTACATTTGAAATGAGAACATTTATAGCATGCAGAATTGGTGTTCTGCCCCAAGGGCAGGGGTATTCTGCCCCCTTTTCAGGGGAAGATTTTTGATGAGCTGTAATATGTTTCATCCCTCTGCATCAAGGATGTTCACAGAGAAAACTTTATGCATACTCTGCAGGTGCAGCTGAACCAGAAACAGCAAATAAGGCGAATAATACCTTGGACTCTGTTTTTGGTGTCTCCTATGCTTACAGTGACTTTCGAACTACACAGTTCTAGTAACAGGCTTATTGGAAGACCTTTTTCTTGCCATTAGCCGTTAATTTCAGTCCTCAGAAAGAATAGTCTCTTCGGCTAACATTACTTCAAGGGAAAAAAATTGTGTAGCTGGGCTGCATGATTTGAGCATACAGGTTACTGCCTATAATCTCAGTGCTCCAGTTCTGCAATCTTCCTGAGCCCTGTTCTTACTGACCGTCATGAGAACTGACTCGTTCTAACTGGGGATGAGCAATTTTGTCCCCTTTGCTCCCAGAAGTGGAGAGAATGTTTGAAATCATAGCAGAGAACCATGAGAAAAATAACACTAAACTAACCTGGATCAGTATGGTCACGTGAAGTATGTGCCTCAACATACAATTAAGTATCTAGGGAAGCAATGCAAGTAAAAGAAATATAATCTCTGTGGTTCAAAATTGAGAAAGTATTTTTTGTGACTGATTTTGTGCTGCAAACTCAATGTGCTTGGTTTGATTATGTGTTAATGAATTCATTTTGGAATAAAGTAGTGTCAGCTTACATCGGGGATATTTGAACTGCCACAAAAGAAAATTAGGTCTAGGCCATGCTCTGCTGAAATGTATGAATCTACCCGTGCTCGTGAAGTTTGTGAATGTGTTTGAAAGCATGTTTGCTTGAAATTATATGGAAAGTATCTAGTGAGACTAGATTGTTTAAATTGTTCTCAATAAGATAACATTCTTATTTTTTTGGTGGGTTTTGTTTATAAATGTTAAAAAAGATTCCACAGTGGGTTTCTAGGCTGTTGTTATCGCATGTGTATTTTGTATTTGTCTTTATCATGATTTAGCCAGTTAGGTCTGTGGGGCAGCCAAGATACACAGTAGTGCGTCACGGGCTTTTCTGAGTTCTTTAAACTATTAAGATACTTCTATGTTGCAGCTGCATGTGGCCTGTGCTAATGGATACAAGAATGTTGCATCTCTGATACTGGATCATGGTGCTGATCTCAATGTAGTGGATAATCAGTACTGGACACCCCTACATTTAGCTGCAAAGTATGCACAGGTAAAGCATGATTTTTTCACCTACTTCTCGTTTCTTTTTGGTAGTCTTCCATACCAAATACTTTCAAGTCAGGGAGACTATTCTGGTTTTAATGTGAAAAGCTTACACATTTCTGTACTATAGGTGGCATCTCAAATGGCAGAGATAATTTGAGAATAGACATTGTAAAGCTATCAACCCAATACAGCTCATTAAAATCAATCTACCATCAACAGCAGTTTGTCTCCAGCAAAAATGAAATTTGTACTGAAATTTGAAAGGGAACCAAAATAAGCACTTTTTTGTGTTATTTTCTTATATTCTAATGTCAAACTCTTATTTTTAGCTAACTTTTTTGCTGTGTATATCACTGTGAATGAATGTCCACGATCTACTTAACACAGTAGTCGCATTCAAAGTTTTCCAGTCACTGAGTTGTGGAAGGGTGCCTTGGGTTTGGGATTTGGAGGCCACGCCTAAACACGACTTGTGCCTCTTAACATCCCCCCTTTTCACATTTCCTTCATCCTCACTCTCCCAGGACATGCTCAGTGCGCCTTTGTTATAGTCTGACTACTTCGGGAGAGCTTCTACAGCTCCCACTGATCCACCTCATGGCTCACAAATCACCTCTTACCCACAGCTACCTTCCAAAAAACCTCTTTGATGCATCCTAGCTCAGCCTCCCACGTTCCTGCCCTTTCTCCTGTCAGGTCTCTGCTGCAGCTCCTGGAAAACTCGTCCCTTCCTATATTTGTCTTCCACCCGGAGGCGCTGGACCTCCTGTGCCATGGACACACGACTGAGCTTCCCAGTGTTGCTCTGAATACAAGTTGCTTTCTTCTGCTCAGGTTCCTGCTGATGGCAGGGATATCCTTCCTGACACTGTGGATGTAGGTGCATTGAGTTAGTCAGAAAATGCTATGAATTGTAGCTGTCAAGCTATTCCCCTGTTTCTTTGGTACTTTGCCATCTTATAATGCCTATTTCTATCGCCATCAGCCATGCTTTTAAACATAACTCTGAATGGCAAAAAGTTTTTGATCCTAAACAGGACTCTGTTTGGTTTTCTTTTTTGGTTTTCTAATAAATATAAATAAAAATCCTCATGGACTTCTGCTGGAGTATGAACTCCATAGTTAGATATTCTTAATTCTGTTTCTGATCTCAGTGACGACAATCCCATTTGTTTAGCTGAATCTCTAGCCAATGATTGAGGAGAACTAGGATTTTTGTTCATGTCTGTTTCTGGTATCTCAGTTTGAGTAAACCTGTGAATTACAAGATGAAGGTGCTGCTGTTTTTACTACACACTTAGTGATCTGAATATGAAGGCAAGACTGCTTTTTTGATGGCATTTTCTTTTTTTTTTTTTTTCTTTTTTGAGTCTTTCACTGCAGGTGATCAGCATGTTAAGATTTAAGGAGTGGATTTTAAGCATGCCAAAATGTCTAATAAAAAGCAAACCAGACATGTATATGGGTGGACAGATGTAATTCAAGTATTTATGCATATATATTATAATTCACCTGTCAGACTGTCTTCTTTAGAAAACTGCTATGTATACAATATATTTTTAGGTTTGCAAAACCATTTAAGGATACAATTCAGTACTTATGTGATGTCCCCTTGCTTATTAAAATGACATATGTGTATTTCCTTATTGCATGTGTTCTCATTTTCATTGAACAAATGGCTTCCAACCTCTTTTTGGACTTCAGAAAATAAATAATATACTTTATAGCAAGAAGATAGTAAAAATGTAGTAAAAATAATAGTAAAAATAAATGTGTTTGAGACTACTTAGTTCTGTTGAGATATAGATTTCTCTTATTGAGATACCCTATATCTGCTCTTTTACAGAGTATTAAAGCTCAGCATATTTTCATAATAGATTAAGTCATTGGTTTATATACGTATGGCCTGAAGTGTACCCTCAGCAATTTCTGGAAGGCTAAATTTACAGAGAAAATTTTTCTGCAAAAATATACTGAACTGAAGGTTTTAGCAAGTGAGGCATCAGTGACATTTTGCATGTACTCTAGTTTTATTTTTGTCATCCCATCTTGTCCTGTGCTGTTCTGTAGTTCTACTGCCCTCACTGATCCCTGTGGATCCTCATGTGGTACTGCAGGCGGGCACGCACTCACCCTACCTGTGTTCAGACTTCAGTAGGGCGAGAAAACTCTTATTCAGCAGTAAGGTGATTGCAGTGATATATGTTGAGCTGGAGCTACTATTTCTTATGTTTCAGGGTGGCTTGTAAGTTTGGGCTTTATACTGTGTTAATGTAGTCATACAATGGTTTTAAGTCTCTCCTAGTATGAAGCCTAAATACTAGTTTTATTGAAAAGGACTTGAAAGGACTGACTTGAAAGGGCCGGGGAAGAAATTTTCTTTGGTTGTATATGTGTAACACGTATATGTTCGCAACACTAACCCTGGATGACTTGAAATACCTTTTTTGTCATAAAGTTAGGTATTTTTCTTTTTGAGATAGACCCATACATGTAAAGTTTGTAATTGAAAGTGGCTAATGGAAAAAATGTCTTTCTGTTTGAAGTGCTCTAAGAACTCAGATTACTGTTTTGCAAGATGGCTGGCTTTTTTGTTGAACTCTGCCTCCCTTTATGTCCTAGATGATGATGGCAGTGATTCTTACTATTCCAGGATTTTTCCGTCAGAAGCCAAGGACCAGTTGTGCTAGTCACTGTACAAGCACTATGGGTACACATGGAGGAAGACAAATGAAGTAGCATTGCACTCTTCCTCACTAAAATTAACAAAATACAGAGCAAATGTATTCCCTTTGTAATGTTAGTGAATAATACAATTTGGAGATACCTTATTATCATTCTAGATAATTTCCCATCCTTATTTAGGAGATAAATACAGCTTTCATATGGATTGTGTTTGTAAGAAACAAATAAATCACTTAAATTCCTTTATAAGAGGGATTTATTAGATATCAGGGAAAATATTTCATCCAGTAGCTAAGCCATTGGGCTGTATTTAAAATTTCCTTTCTTATGATGATGATAATTTTGAAACATCTTTTAGCTTTAGTATGAATTCATATGCATATCATATTTATAATTCCATTTTGAGTGATTAATTATAGACAAATATGAACATTGTTACTATTTGGGGAAAAAGTAGTATGGCAGAATGGGAATAACCTTAGTCAAGACATGATTTGGATACTTTGTTTTAAATTAAAATATATTTATGAGAAAATAGTTATTTTTTAGCCAAAAATATTAATGTTCCCTGAGAAAGTCATTAATATAAATTCTGGACTCCATCCCTTATGGTTTAACCCTCTTGTAACACATTTTTGTGGCAGGTTTTTTTTTAAGTCTCACTTGAAAAATTCACTACAGTGATAAATCTGTATGTTGTACTAGATGACTGTAAAAAAATCTATTTGGTTTTAGTTCGATGTTCTTTTCAATTCTTGAGAGGATTTCTTGCCTTCCAGGAATGTATCTGAACAGAAAAACAGCCTTCACTTGTCTTGTAGCTTGTATAATAAGCAATGATCCTTTAATGACTGGTCGCAGAAGTTTCAAAAAACCTTTTGTAAACCATTGTTGTTTAGTAGTTTACTAGCACTGTGGCTGCAATACCTGCAGCCAAACCCCATGCAATATATAATTAATGTTATATTCCATGAGTCATAAGGACTGATAGTTTTTCCTGTTTATAAAATACCTATAAAATTCTTAGTAATTTAGATATATTTTTCATTTGGAGAAGCTGCTTACTTTAATAAAATGCAATTGGATTAGTTATACAAATTACATAGTTTTTGAACTATTTTATGTTATAGACCTTACATACACACATTTTGCATATTACCTGACGAAAAAATGTGAGTAGTGATAGTCTTATGAAGAAATTGTTATATTGTTTTAGAGTGACATCCAGACTCAGTTGAAGGACCTGAGCTCTATACATATACAGTCTTATGTTTGCAAATACACAAAAGGCAAAAAATAAAAGAAATACAAAATACACAAAATTTTAAAAAAAAAACAAACTTATTTGGCTATTTGTATGACCATAACAATAATAGAGGTAGTACTAATTTACTTTACCTGCAAAAAAAGAGAAGAATCTATTGAAGTTTAAAGTTTAAAGTAAGAAAATGTAAGTGTGACCAAAGTGTGGGGCAAAGGAGCCAAACGATGGGTCAGCCACCCACTGGATATGCTGGGTCAACCACCCACTGGATATGCTGGGTCTTCCCAGTCATCATAAAGGGGGAATGGAGTTGATGCATTACTCTTAGACAGCGTAAAGATGCACAGAGTGAATCCTACAGTGGGAGTAGAGTTAAATACTTACAACAATACCTATCCTATCAAGAGCAAAACGTAGCAGTAGGTTGTTGCATTGTTTCCATACAGGCAATAACTAAGAGTTTTAAGTGCCAGTATGTATTACCTGATGTTAAAAAAAAATAAATCTGTACCTGTCTTTACATATATTTGTAAAGAAAAACAGTCTCATGGACAAATTTACCATCTAAAATTTGCTAGAATGATATTAGTCCAAATATTGAAAAAGAGCACGGGCGAATGATAAATGAATTGTCCTGTTAGTGCCAGAGTGTGTAGATCCAGAGAACATCTTTCTTGCATAGGAGTGCAGGATATTACTAGTGAGTTTGAGGGTTATGTGCAGGATACGGCTACTAAGTACAGAATAAGGCAACTGAGGCTACTGCCTGAAGGTCAGTCACTCTGCTTGTAAGATGAGGCTCTGCTTTTCAGGAACAGATTAGGTTACCAATGAGTGCAACCGACTATTAACTGAAATACTACCAGCTGCAAACATTAAAAAATAATGGTAACAGCATTAAAAAAAAAAAGGCATATTTTTGAGCAAGATTATTCTGAGTTTCTTAGGACTGTTGTCATTTCCCCCCCCTGTAACTATTAGGGCTAAAAGCAAGTTTTTATTTTTAATGCACATTGAGATTCTAACATTATACAGAAAATGGATATTATTGAGGT